CCACATAGGGCCTCGAAAGGATAGGCGTGGTATTAAACCGGGCGACAGCAAACCTGTCTACCACCAAAGTTAGGCAGCAGTGGCGAGGCTCGAACCTCGGACCATAGGGTTCAAAGGACGCCGATGACAGTGACTAAACCACTGCGTCACCACCACCCTGCTTTCACGTGGCGGTGTTTTCGCACCAAAGTAAGAGGACGAAAAGCTAACATCCGGAGCTATAACCGGATCGCTGAACCACTGGGAGTTCACCTGGAGCAGTTGGCTAGAAACCCTGGTTGTAAACCAACCATGAAGAGGCGCATGAACCACCCTTACACCTTGGTTGTGGTATTGGTCACCGGCTGTTGATTATGAATGGGAGAATCGTCCGCTTCGCGGATCGTTTCACTCACACCCACGGCTTTTCTGCCGGTGACGCGTATGAGATGGAGCAGCTTACGGGAATTACCCATGGCGAGGGCACATGACATATTTGACGCGCGTTGAGTTCACCAGATTTCGCGGTCTCTGCGCAAGCTAGTACTGAGGTTACGTCTCGTTACCAGTCGTGTTTCTTTACGCTCGCTGCCGATTGGGATTGATCAACGTGCGTCGAGGCTCCGCAGAAATCCAGGGTTTTACGGCATAACGTGTCAGGTTACATCATCATTGTACAGCGAAATACAGTGAAGCAAACTTCACCGACCGCTGCCAAACGTGCAATGGACACAAGGTTAGTGGTAAAATTTATGGTGGACCTATTTTGAGGGAGGGAGAAGATGAGCCACTATGGTCAACACACAGTACGCAATCGAACTCTGCATACATACCGTTTCAAGCATTCTGACCGGATAAGAAACGACAAGAACGCCACTGCTGCCGATTCGCTGTCATATCCTACAATGTCTCCAATCAACCAGTCGTGGAGTCTTTCGGACCCCAACCTGGAAGGCGAGATACACCTACTCGACCTAATGGCTCTGTGCAGTTCTTCGTGCCTCGTCTCCACGTGGTTTCCTCCAACCCGGATTAACTACAGGGAATAAAGCGCGGTGCGGCAGACGATGGCTTGGCATACGTAATGCGTGCCCTAGCCAGTGAAGCCTAGTAATCTGAATTCGGTGCGCTAGCAGGTTTATACTTGATAGACTCCCAAACACACGACGGCTTACCTCCACGTTACTAACCCGTACACTACATCCAACATGAGCTACAACTAAATGAACCAGCAGAATGCAGAGCATTTTCGATAAGCGACCTTGTGCTGGTTAATGTCAGCAGATGGGGTTGGTTCTAGCTTTATAGCTAACGTGTTTTAAAATCCGGTTAAACGTGCTTGTTAGAACAGTTGAACCATTGTTGTCATGCGTTTAGAACTCCCACCGAAACAATTGGACAGCTTGGCGCATATTAATGTGTGGTTTGATTAGAGGGTAATGCTCCTGTACGATCGGCAGTCTTCTATGCAGCCTCAGCATTTGTGGCTTATAGCGATGCGGTCGACCTGCGTCCGTTTCTGACTCGAGGGTGGGCGTTAATTGGCGTCTGAAGTTCGTACTGACGAGGAACAGACGGTGTTCGGAACATAGAGCCAACAGCCATTCCGTTTTCCGAGCGACAGCTAACAAAAACATATACTTCTTCCCCATTTATCTGTTTTACCCATTTTCCCTTTATTGTTCTGTTCCTCTTTGTTATCTACCATCATCGTACTTAGGTTGGCACCATCCATATAATCAAGCCCGTGATGAGCACTCTTGTCTTCATCTGGTTCAATACCACGCCTAACTCAACGGAGACAGTTGGCTGGTTCATTCGCCTCTTCGGGTAGTTAAAACCCATCAATGGAGTCATGGTCATAGTCAGTGCTAGCCACACTTGCCACGTAACAGCGGCATCAAAAGATACGTGGTTGTATGTGGAAAACCCCAATCAAGTGATGAACCCACTGCGTCCTCCAACACTGCCGCTGATCATTCGCAACCACTTATTCGCGGGGGCCTAAACCCACCTTATTCACGGTTAACCGCGAGTTGATGGCCGTTTACCTATCCGCGACCTATGGACGCGCTCGGTACCATACAGATCTGCTCCTGTCGATGGATATATACTGGAAACTTTAAGGTCTTACACCTATAAGGTAGAACTGAACTTCCACGAGACTGTTTAGTTTGAAGCAGCGAATGTATACAGCACGGTGGATGATGGCTTGGTGAGAGCAATGCGTGTTTTAACCATTGAAGCCTACTAATTTAAATGTGATAACGAATTTCCTACCAATTTATTTCTAAATATTCATCAACTTACTTCAGCGTTGCTTACCCGCTGAATCCATTCGACCTGCACCAAACTGTATATCGACGGTCTAAAAGTTCCAGACGTCTCCCACGCGCAAATTTAGCTTCTCGCAACCGTAAGGCAGAACTTTATATATATATATATATATATATATATATACATATATATATATATCACACATCTGACGCCAGACTGTGCCAAATGAACCATGGCAGAAATGATAGCACAGTGGCACTCTATACGCAACCATACGTGAGGTACCCAATTTTTGTCCTGTGTAAGCTGTTCGTTCTTCCGAAATGCGGTCAGCGGCATCGTTCACCTTGTTATCGTCATTTGTCAAGCAATAATCTGATCAGAAAACATCAGGACTGGAACAAGCGACCCAGTCTTTTAACCTCATTTTGCAGAGAGCATGGCGAACAGAGTAACACGCGCTAGTCTATCAACGGACCAGGTGCACGCTGTGTGCGTACAGCCTTGCACTAGTTGCCCATTTTGCAGACACTGGGGACTAACGTTTTATCCGGCATTCACCAATGAACCCGAACAGGACTTCTTCATTACACACTCTCGTGATGAACAGCAGACGGGGAAAGCCCATAGTCACGAGGACCTGCTGTTCAGTGATGGAAAACGGTTACTTAGGCCCCGAGACTTGGAGTGGCGAATTACTTTGGCCTCGATAGGTTAGGCGTGGTATTGAACCGGGTGACAGCAAAGCTGCCTACCACCAAAATTAGGCAGCGGTGGCGGAACCCGAACCTCGGACCACAGGGTTCAAAGGACACCACTGACAGAACGATGAACCGTTCTTCACTCAGCACACTACAAAAGTCTAAACTCGGTCTTTCTACTTGGGACTGTCACGATCCTTAATGCTGATAAAACCTCGCCTAAAATACCCCTACTTTCTCCCTCTCTTCACAAATTATTGTGACGTTCTCTGACACGTGGATTTAAGGAACTCGTTTGTACTATCCTTGTATCTCCTTTCAGAGCCGCCCCAGTTGTGCTCGCCTTTCAAGCTGTGCGCACAATGGGTTTCTCCCCCTGATCAGGTTCTTTATTTTCACCTACTGCTTTTCACTGTACAAGTATCATATTTTATTTCACGATTCTGCGCCCAGTTTAGATTCATCCTAAATTCCAATACTGCGTGTGCAGTCTGGTCTTGTCTCTTCTTCATCGAGTCCAACGGAAGGCCACGCGCTTCCAAACTGGCATGGTAAACGATGTACGAATGTTACGTAGTAAACATCTCAAACAAAATTAAATTGCGGATGTGCGTTACAAGCATTCCAATCGGATAAGAAATGACAAGAACGTCACCAGTCAACCTGTTGATTATCCTCTGCATGTAATACCGATATGCGGATGAACGATGGTAATTACCGGACTAAGAGGACAATAGTCAGTGAGAATTCATGAGCAGCACTTAGTCAAATCTGAGGAAAGCGACAGACCAGGGGCGCTCATTTTATGACCCCAATGGGGTAAAAACTGTTGAACTGCTCCGATATGCTCAGTTGGTGAGATTGACGTTTAGAATCAGTTCAAGTTCAGTTAAAATATTCATGCATTGTTCTCCTGGAAACCTTCAACAGCGAAAATGAATCTGGTCTTCGCTTAAAATGACTTAGTTTGTGCTGTCTAGCGGTAAATAGCTGGGAGCATCAGTAAAATGAACATAAAATCGTACAAATCAAGTAATAGGTTGCTGTTCTAGACCGGTCTAGGAGTCCTCAACGGAATCCCCAAACAGCGCTAAACAGAAGACTTCCGCTAATGATTCAAAACCAAAAACCTGTGCAGTACTGTGTTATGTATTCTGTTCAATACGGCTGTCACACAAGGACGTTAACCGTGGCAGTAGAAGGATGCTGCCATTGTACCACTAACCAAAGCTGGAGACAAGCGTAACCCAGGGAACTACCGACCAGTCAGCCTTCTTAGTTTGATGCGTGACGTAACGGAACGACTGGTGGCATGGCTCCGGTAGCGTAGTGCCGTGGTCACCCGTGCAACCAACACGGTTTTCGGTCGGGTCGCTCATGTCTTTCAAAACTGCTGCTAGCTCCTGAATGCTGAACTGAGAACAAGGCCAAAAGACAAGAAACTGGCATAACCCTCACGGACTTTAGTAAGGTCTTCGACTGGAACACAACCGCCTCCTGCGAAAGCTGATCAGCCTTGGTGTAGTTAAGACTGCTGAAAAAGTTGCAAGACCTCCATGCTGACAGGAAATTCGACGTCCGTGTTGAAAGGTTTGTGATATACCGTCTTCCGTGGGGCCCTCTAAGACTGTTCTTGGTTAGTCCTTGTTAGTGTTTCACATAAATGACTCGCCCTGTCAGTTGTGCAGCCCATCACTCACGTATGCGGACATAAAAACCTAGCGTACAATCAAGGATCCAGGTGATCGGATAATTACAATTGAACACCCTGGCTCAGTGGGCGGACACCTGGGCCCTTCCAGTGAATGCTGCTAAGTGCTTACTGGCAACGGGGGCATGCTGATTCGGTGGCTTATAGCTTTCAATGTACCACGTTGCACAGAACAGCATGTTAAAGCAACCTGGGAGTTACAGTGATATCGTCGCTGAAGAATCCAGGAAACATCGTTAGGGTCTGCGCTGTAGAGCATTCCGGGACCCATTCAGATCTTTCAGTTGTCTTAGAACTAATGCATTTACACCGCTCTACGCTCCGCGCGTTAGAACGAGACTTGACTATGGTACTGCTGCGACATACTCCTGCACGGCTGGTGAACTGGTCAAGTTGGAACGTTTAGAACGTGCTGCCACTAGACTTGCTGGACTATGAGGGACTAGTTGTGTATCGGCCGGTCCGGGGATCTGATCTGACTGAAGAAGATCCTGAGGGGTAATATGGGCCCGGAGTTGAAGCAGCATTGTCCACTACAGGCAAAGGAACGCACGCCGAGACAGCTGTCGTGTCACGTAAACTATAGTCGGTTGGTATACCATTAGCCTAACGACTCCCGTGGAGGTCAACAACGCTCTGTAATTCTCTTTAAGCGACTGCAGCTGAGGATACAACCGAAGTTGCGTTNAGTGGCTATGGAGGGGTGACCGAACGTGACCAGATCCCCCCCAACCAAGTGACGGGGCTTACACGAGTATCCTGCGCTCGCCACTCAAAAGAACAGTCCAAATAGGTTCAGGAACCCTAATGATTCATGATACACTTTGTGATTAATCCTTACAAAGCGAATTTAGTATTTTAGGACATCCTAAAATACCAACACACCATAATAAATATAAAGTCAGTGGTAGTTTACTTTCAAACTATTGACATTTAGGAAATTTAGAACGTACCGGCGATTGGAGCTTCTATGACTGTAACCAGGACTCCGGCGACCATAATCTCGACTGCCGCTTCGACTCCGGTAGCGACGTGAATGCGACCTAAAGAAAAAATTCGAGAAAACGAAATGAATTACCTGGAACGCGACGCTGAGCGACTGTATCGACGTCCCCTAGGAGATTCCCCGGTCCTATAGCCATTTGAAGTGACAGGAGAATCCGTTCGATGCATGATTCCACGGACGCGAAGAGGGTTGCTAACGCGGAAAACCAAAACGATTATTGCCGCCTCTTCGTGAATTAAAACAACCTTCGGTTCCGTTCAGTTCTCACAGGACGAATTGCGGCTCTTGCCAATCGCGCGTCCAGTTCCTTGTGTCGTCAGCGGTTTCACTGGCTTCCAACATTTCCAGGTCAGATTGCACAGGGCTGAATATGGCCACGGCCAATCGAGCGTCCAGAATTCCTTCGATGGTATGTTCACTGAGTGGGCACCCAGCACTGCTGAAATGAAAATGAGAAATAGAATCTCATCTCATCAAGTTGGCGAGTGAATTCTTAGACGTGAGCGTTCCATTACGTGCACGAGTGAAAAAGGGAAATGGCATCCTAAACAATTGGCACATCTGTAGTGACCATGATTGTACGAAGAAAAGGAGCAATCCACGAGGACGTTTTCCG